ATAAAAGGCGCTTTTTCCCCCGGGGCGACTATATATATATATATATATATATATATATATATATATATAAAGTTTTACACATTAAAACTACTTGCATTACAAACTACATGTCACTTTGTAGACTGCATAATAAATATTACAAACTTTACAATCCCTGACTTTACGTTATAAATGGCAAGCTTTACAAACTAAACATACAACATGCTGTGCAATACACATTTTACACTACACAGTACAAACTATCTACTTTACAAATTACTTGCATTGCAAATTACACAGTACACACTTTACAAACTACATATAATGTTTTTCACATGAAAACTACTTGCATTATAAAGTACACAGTAAACACTTTACAAACTTTATATAACATTTTACACATAACAACTACTTGTATTACAAATTATGCAGTGTAAACTTTACAAACTATATATAACATTCTGCACATTAAAAGTACTTCTGTTACAAAGTACGCAGTACACACTTTACAAATCACATTTTAAATGCTACAAACTACACAAAATACATTTTACAAAATGTTCACTTTACACATTAACTGCTCAATATAAACTTTATAATTCCTGCTTGTCAAGCTAAACACATTACAAATCACACAGTACACACTTTTTAAACCAAACACATTGCAAAATATACATATTTTGAATGTTGCATGCATGCAAACTATAAAAGACTTTACAAACTAAACACATCGACTGCTTAATATATGCTTTGTGAACTACACACATTACAAACTGCACAGTATGCATGAAAAGTTAACTTTACAAACTATACACAATATCAACCACACAATATATGCTTCATAAACTAAACACATTGCAAATGAAATAATTCCTGCTTTACACACTACTTAAGTTCTAAATGACACAGTAAATTACACAAGATACATTTTATAAACTACAAAATGCTCACTTAAACTAAACACATTATAAACTGCACAAGATACGCTTTACAAACTACATACATTACAAACTACTCAATAGTTTTAGTTTGTAAAAGCATGTATTGTGTAGTTTGTAGGGTTGTTTGACTAATTCTATTGTAGTTTTTAGCATATATGTTTTGTAGTTTGTAAAATGATTTTGTAGTTTGTAAAGTGTGCATTGTGTAGCTTGTAATATAGTCATATATGCTTCTCAAACTAAACGCATTACAAACTACCCAAAATGTACTTTACAAACTACTTTCTGAGTGCATATATAGTTGTATTTTTGTACACTCTGTCTATCTGTCAGAAAACAAACTAGACAAACAGACTGGATTCATGCATCATTCTGTCTGTCTGAGTTTCTGAAGCATCAGGCCTCTGATCAGCAGTGCCAGAGAGCAGAAGGCAGCGGTTTCTCTCCCACTCTCAGTCCCCTGACACATCCGCTCTACAGCAAACTCCAGTGTCTGCAGGCAGTGTTCCTGCATGAGCTCTTTATCATGACCCAACAGATATTTTTACCTCGGCCCGGACCGGTTGTGTGGGAGCAGCGTATGTTGTCAGGAGCCATCCTCCGTTTAGCCGTGCAGTCGTGGAGTAGGAGGACGTGTGTTTGCTTTGCTTGTCTCGTCCCTCCTCTCCTCTGATGAATAAGTCATGGAGCTTTGTGCTCAAGCACCACGAAAATTTGTCTCAAAGTGGATCAGAGTTGCTGTCAGTGCAGGAAGAGGAACAGGAAGGCGAGCGAGGAGAGAGAAGAACGGCGTGTGTTCGTGTTAAGATGCTGATTATCGAAAGGCATTGGTGAAGCGTGCCTCTGCTCTGCCTACATCCTCTTCAGAAACGATATCAATATTTGTGCAATTCATGCACAGATTGCCAATCTTCCTTAGGCTGCTGTCAGGCTCGTTTTTGACAGTTTTTGCATATGCACGTCCTGACCAATCAAAAACTTTCTTTCCAAACTCTCAGCACATTGTGTGATCTCATGCCACAATCGGTGTATTTATTTTCTAAGGCAGCTAAGTGAATTTTAAGCTATTTGGTTTTACGAAAACAATGCTCAAGGTTCAAGATACAATTAAATGCCGCAAAGCCAAGCAAAAATGCAATCACGTTTGTAATCAAATTTTATTTTAGATGAGAAAACTTTGAGCAGATGTGCAGCGTCACAGTTAATTTTGTCAGTGAAATTACTTTAAAAAGATTTTTTGACAGGGTTTTTAGATTTCATCAATGATAACAAACGTGAAAGGATAATTATATGATTTTAATTATTATATACTGATTAAACTGACAAATTTAACTCTTCACAATATTAACAATGTTTTAAAATGTTTATTTAGAAGAAAAATAGAATTTATTAGTATTGAAGGTTGTATTTAGTGTAATAAATCTTTTGTTTAATGCAGGTTTCACTTCATATTTTTAAATATAATTCATCTTAATCTTTATTGTAATATTAAATATAATAATCTAAATATTTTAATGGTGTATTTGGTTGATTAAATCTTAATGCATGTTTCAATTAATATTTTTTAAATACATAATAGTATTATATTTGTATTATAATATTCTAAATATTTATCAGTTGTTTAAAGTTTGTAAAAAAATAATTATTTTTCAGTGTTGCATTTAGTTCAATAAATGTTTTGTGTCATGCATGTTTTAATTCATATTTTAAATTGATCATAATTTAAATATTTTAATTGTAAAGTTTGTAAAAAAAAAATATTTTTCAATGTTGGATTTAGCATACAAATATTTTGTTTAATGCATGTTTCAATTCATATTTTTAAATATATTTTAGTATTTCTTATAATATTGTCAAATGTTTACATTTTTTTTTTTTTTTTTTACCTTTCTCACATAGTTTTGTCATTTTGCACATTGTCAACTAAAATGTTATTTATGGTTACTAAAATTATATGCCATTTTAGGGTAAAACAGACTTGAATAATTATGCTATTAAATATTGACTTAATTTAGAAGTTATTTTCATTTTCAACACAGGTGCCATCATATGGAAATAGGAAGTTTATCAACTGGCGCAATGGACGTTTCCAGTGTTGGCAGTTGTTTTTATTATAATGAAAGTGATTATATATATCAATACTCCTAGATTGTTGTGTGTTCAGTTAAATAAGCTGAGCGAAACGAACTGCTGTAAAATGTAAAATAAGATTAAATTTGGTTTGCCAATACCCTACACTGTGGCAGATAATTGAGCTGGTTTTCTGCATCCAGCCAACATCGTTTGGAGCTTCTCGTGTTCAGCAAATAGAGACATGACATTTGTGCTTGTGCATTTTGGCGCTCGGAGCTCTTTATTGATTTCTGCTCTGTCAGTACAAAGGTGCGCATGCCAAACCTTTCAATGCTGCCTATAAAAGTGCCAAGCCGATCTCACCAGCTCCTGGAAAAAAGTAGCGCTCGTAACTCTCAGAACGGTCTTCAGAAAGTGTCCTGGCACACGTGCGTCTTCCCATCTGTTTTCCTGCATTTCCTGTTGCTGATGCGCGCTTGCGGTAATTATTTCCGAGCGATCGGCAGATGACGAGTGATGAAAAATTAGAGGCGTTTAATGATCAGCCGGAGCGAAAGGTGAAAGCTTTTGTGCTGTGACGAGCTTTTATCATATGCTAATGAGTCAGTGTTTAATTATCGCCTGTAGCTCAACAGGAAATCATCACAAAGTCAAAGCCGAGCCTTATTAGCATGATTGTATTATAAAACTCTTATTCAAGTGGAGTTGTTTTGTATATCGTTGACCTTTCTGTGACACCAATTTCTTTGTCTTCAGGTATTACGTCCTTCCAAACGTTACCAAGGAGCATAAATAATATTTAAATTAATATAGAATTCATCAATGTATAATTTAATGTCTAAATGAACATAAATTAATTAATATATGATTCACTAAAATCAAATTCACTAGCACATTCACACAGCAAATGTTATTTATTCACAGCAATTAATAACATTTTAAAATCTATTCCCATAGAAAACAATTATTTAAATTGTAATAACATTTTACAATATTACTGTTTTTACTGTATTTTGGATCAAATAAATGCAGCCTTGGTGAGACTTTTTTTTCCCAAAAAATATTTAACAATTTTACTGACTCCAAACATTTTTCCCAAATTCTATTTTATTTTTATTTTTTTTCAATTTGAATTTTTCTGGACTCCAGTTTTTCATGGTTTAATTTTTCTGGTCTCTGTTTTGGTGGTTAAATTAAACTTTAGTTATCAAAAAGCATGTCTAATTAATTAAAATCATAAAACATACACAATTTAACAACAATTTATTAAAAGTTTCACAAAAATTAAATTTTTTAGGGCCCTATGAAATATGTTTAATTTTTTCTTAAGTTCTGTTTTAATTGTACCAAATTTTCTGTATTATTTTTAAATAATTATTTAAAAAGCATGTCTGATGAATTGAATTCATAAAAACTTAGTTTGTTAATTTCTTTTATGATAATAGGGCCCAATGAAATGATTTTTTCCCACACATTCTGTGTTGTCTTAATTCTTCTTGAACTCAAACGTATAAAACTTTAATTTATCTTTTAATCAAATGAAAATTAAACCCTTTCATTTTCTCATTTTTCAAGTGGAGTTCGTGATGCCAGTTTCTTTGTCTTCCAGCATTACGTCCTACCAAACGTTACCGAGGAACATGCCGAGCCACCGTGCGCAGATGGTCCCGCGCTATCCCGAGGGCTACCGGACGCTCCCGCGTAACATGCTGCGGCCGGACAGCATCTGCAGCGTGGCGGGGTCGATGTACGACCGGGCGCTGCAGCCTCCGACTGCAGAGAAGCGGCACTCCATACGGGACGACACCATGTGGCAACTGTACGAGTGGCAGCAGAGGCAGGCACACAGCCGGATCGGATACGGGACGCTGCCCAGCCCCAAAACCATGGGCCAGCTCGCCGAGTCCATCCCCACGTCTCCTTCCCACGGATCTCTGGCCGGTTACCACACCTTCTCTCCTAATCGGCCCCTCAACCCGGATTCCCGCTCTGAAGTTTCCTCGCCGGTGTTTCGTGGGGACATGATGATTGAGCGCCGCCACCGGCCGCACCTCTCTAAGGTAAAGAGCCACACAGGGTTCCCACTGTATGGAGAAACTGGGAAAATGTAAAATAATTAGCATTTCCAAGCCTGGAAAAAAACAGGTTTAGTGTTAGTGGTACCAGCTTCAGGTTACATTTTTAAAATATATATTTATATTTAAATTAATAAATAATATAATATATAAATAGTATATCAATTATTTTAATGTATAATAAAGCTATATAATAAATATGTATAATTTATCTATTAACAACATAATATATAAATGAACAGAAATGAATAAATATATACATTAAAGAATAATTCACTAAAATCAGTTTCACTAAAATGTTTACATTTTTTTATACATATTTA